ATTTGCGTAATTGACAGTATGTAGGGTGTATATGATGAATTCTGTGTGTACATCTTCACACATGAACTCATTGTCATCAGTTACAGGCTGTGATGTGGTAGCTGCCAAGTGTGCAGCCAAACTTGCCTTTGCTGTCTCATACAATTTAGGACAAATTTCACATTATTGGGTAATTGCCCCAACCTTTGCAATTTGTCGTTCCTTACATGCTTCCGTTTGAAATTGTTGCCACCATTATGCCTAAACGCCTCTTTCATTACATATTGATAGCTTAGAAACACCTTGTTCAATGTATTGGGTGTAAGCTGACGACACTAAAATCGCTGAGTGCCTCAAAGTAATATTCAATACAACACTTATACGCAGTGTAGTGAAGTAAGGATCATATCCACAGGAAACGTAATATCTTTCTTTTAATTAAATTGTAACAAAGGGGAGTTTTAGATTGGTGTTGAACTTCAAGAGTATATAAGACACTAAGATGAATGACTTATGTGGTTTAATTAAATAGAGATGGAGACTTGATTTTGCTTATATCTACTTAATGAAATGTTCGTCGATCGTGGTTGTATCTTTCACTATCTTCCTCTCGAATACTCAATCGTGGAGTATTTCCAATTTTAATAACGAGATGTGTTCGTCAATAAAACTTACTATCAAGTCAATATAGAACATGCGCCGTATATTGAACTGACAGTAGCAAACTAGCAATAAAACTGAAGATGAAATCGACTGAGATTGACAACTTTAACCTGATAGTAATCGGTACAATCAATCCCCTTAGATGATTAACCATGAGACGCATGCATTAATAATCCAAGTTTACTACCGTTGAAAGGACCGAGCGATTAACAAGTGTATTCATCGATCGATTCTAGTACGTAGTACTCCGTAATAATAAATATATGAAACAAAACTAGTTGATCCTTTAAGTAATATTCAAATATAAATATGAGATATAAAATAGGAATGTAATTAATATTCAAGGAATGTGATTAAATAAAATAACTCACAACTTACAAATCATAAATTTCAATGTAGCAAAATCAAGATGGAAGGGTTTAGCTCCTCATTTGAAGACTAAACATGCTAGAAAATATAAAAAAGCACTTAACTAGGTTGAGCTTAAGAGTATATGTGAACTGATGATTAAATGGGAAAGAAAATGAGTGTATTTATAGGTGTTTGGAGGAGGCATGGTCAGATACATGACTGGGTATATAGGATATTCGATCGAGTATCCTTAGTATTTACTCGTTTCATAAATCACATCATACCCGATCGGGTAAAAGACAAATCTTGCCAAATCTTCGTCTTGCACGTTTAATTGCCTCCAAATGAGATTTGACACCTGGTTCAAGTCAATACCCAATCGGGTATATGCTATACCTAATCGGGTATATGACTTATTTCCCAAATCTTCACTTTATTTTGTTCCCTTGCACTTTCCTTGACCTTCCAAGGATCTTTTTGACGATCTTTATCCGGTTTAAGCCCAGAATAGTCATAATCTAAACATATTACAAACAACTAGGAAAAAATAAAGCATTACACTAAAAGTGTGTAATTTCCCAAACAATAACAAATAAAACTAGTTAAAATTACAAATGTAGACAATTACAATTCTATACTATCATACTCCCCCTACTTTCCATTACTCGTCCTGAATATCAACGGAGTGGTTCACCATCCGTAAAAATAGAACGAATAAATAAGTTCAATGTACATAAAGTGTTTGGATTTTACATTTCATTCCTGAATGACAAAGGGGGTCTTCTTGATTTTTTAGTTTCTCCATAAACAAACAATATGTGCCTTGAAGTAATATGCTTCGCAGCCATCCATCTACCAATAGACTCATCCAATCTTCGCTGGGGCGTCTTGAGAACTCCGGAGGCCCTAGACGAAAAACACTAAATGATACGAAGTATGATATAAATTGATAAAAACCCAAAATGTCAAAAACAACTCATATTCAAAGTGCATCATATACTATGAACATCGAAACAATAAATTTATAAATGTAAACACATGTAAAATGGACCAAAACTTACACATCCTCCGCCCAGGTAAAAATTATCATTTATCTTTTTTGGATGTTCCATCTAAAAGTTCTCATTCTCATTTTCATTTTAGAAAATAATTAACTCTTTGAAATGACAATTTAACCATCTATCACATTTTAAAATTAATACTCTCATAACATCGCACTTAGAATCTATTACGGTTACTCCATTATATTATACTTTCCCAAATTATTTCTTAAATTATACTCAAACTATCTTATTTAATTATTAACTTAAAAATGTGCCCTTTAAATGAAAACCTTAAAATGAGATGTAGTACTTTTTGATCCCTACAAATCTTGATTATTGATTGCCAATAACATACTTACAGAAAAATCACAAATAAAACAGTCAACAAAAAGCTAAAATTCACAAATAAACAATAGTTAAGAACTAAATAACTACTCCGATCAAATTAATTAAACATTACTTCAGTAATACATTCATGGCTGCGAGCCTAACAACTAATTAAATCTAAAAATTACTTTATGTATTTTTGGACTACCAATATACCAAAAACATGATAACTAATATGAATCCAATAACCTATTAATCTTAAACCTAATTTTTACAAAATGTCAAAATTACCTCAACACTAAATCCGCAGGCCACGTACACAACTGTTTACTAAAATGAAGGATAGCCGGATAGGGAATGTGGTAGTTTCTAAACTATTAAACTAAAACATATATTTTATACTATTAATATTTTTTGAGGCCCCACTAGAGTATGAGGGCCAAGGCAAATGCATGGCCTTACTCCCCTCAAATCCGCCACTGAATCTTCGCCATCTACCATGAAAATTCCTTTGAGAAATAACCTCAAAGACTTCAAGCAAATTTTGGTCCAAAAATGGACGCTCGTAGACTTTTAGGAAAGCTGTGAAAGAACACTCAAGCAAAAATCGGGAAAGTAATATAAATAAGGAAAGTAGCTATAGAGTTTTATAGCCAGTAATATCATATCTTCATTTCAAATTCGACTTGCCTTTTATAGGCGTTTACAAATCGTAACTGTTATCAATAATAATGACGAATTAATTACAACATTAATACGGAATTAAATATATAATTGAATAACACATTAATTGCTTGACTGTTACTCTCTTCCCGGCTGGTAGGTTGGCCGGGCTGGCAGGCTCTCGGTTGGGCTGGCAGGCAGGCCCCAGGCTTGGGCTTGGGCTTGGGCTTGGGCCTGCGGGCTCAAGTCGTAGGCTTGGACTCACGGGTCCAAGTTCGGGGCTAGGGCCGATCAGGCTATGGGCCTAGTCCCATAACTCCACCACGAGTCTCCCAACTCCCTTAGTCGAGTAGTAGACTCGGCTAAAAGGGAGTAGTCCAAGTCATCTGCTCTTCTCCAAGACGGGAAGATCTCCTCTCTTGTTCATGTTGGCGAGATGCCTCATTAAAAACATTCATTGGGAAAAAACCCAATTTGAAAAAAACCTAATGAAGGGAAAAAGAATACACCTGACGCCCCCAAGATCAAGAAAGGGGTGAAATCATCAACCTTTATTGCAATGGTCACCATATGGGAAGAGGATGGCTAGTACTGTTCTAATCTTCTCTTCGAGCTCAGACTCATCACGCTCGTTCTTTGCTTCCTTGAAGAAGGTAAATCCCTCAATCCCCCACCCCTTGAGGCGAGTGGAGTAGAGTCATCTTCGTCCATTCGCACCTACACATAAAAGCAAGTTCTGTTTACTCTCCCCACCCCTTGCGTATAGGGTACATAGAAGGAAAAATGACCAGATTAAACCTCCTCAAATTTTATGGAAATGAAAGAAATTTGTGCAATAACTTCCACTGAAAGAGTTGAATCTTAACATTTTGCTACTTATTCCAAGAATGATTAAAGGAAAATGTTTCACATTTGCTCCACCTGATCATGAAAGCATAAAAGAAAATAAAGGTTCCATTTTTACCAGATCACCAAAAGCAATTCTCATCCTTAAGTGAGGTTAATGATCCACCCAAACTGTTATTGGAACAAAACATCTTCCATATTGTAGAGTCAATGGCTTTAGGGGTCAAATTCAGTCCTCTAGGGTATCTAGCATGACAAACAAGGACTAAGAACTATCTTCACATTTCCACTTCCACCATAACTTAAGAGAGTATAGTAGGCTCTTTCAATGTCAATCAATGATTTGACACCCAAACACCCTGTGCCGTACGAAAACATATGTCCTTCCACCTTAGCCAGTGATAATTGTGTTTATTATTAGTAGATCCCCATAAGAAGTGTGTCATGTTCCTCTTTAGGATCCTAATAACGGATTTGGACAAAGTACCACGACAAGGAACTCGACGACCCACTTGGAATACCGAACTGATTAGACCCGAATCGGACCGGGCGGGTCGACCCGAAACTGGCGGGGGCACAATAAATTATTAGAGTCACGATTATTCACATACAAGTTTCACCCAATTCATATTTGCATTAATAGTCATTGAAAAATATTTTAAATACCTCACACCTTTTAAAAGTTTTAAAAGTTTGAAGTATTTAAAATATTTTTCCCTATAAGTTTTAAGTTTTAAAGTATGCTAGTAATTTGTAAATGTAATGTTATTGGTCAAAAGTAAATTAATATTGTTGAAATGTTGAAGTGAATCTAAACTTTTTTTGGCTGCACTTTCTCTTTTGTTATGGTATCTATTTCGTTGAAAAAGCGGTTCATCCTAGCTGGTCGTCGACTCACTCTCTCATATGGGAGGTCTCGGGTTCAAAACTTGGAGTGAGTTTCAGCCCAGTTACTCCAGCCCCTCCTCTAGACCCCTGGAATAAAAAAAGTGGTATCTATTAACATTAAAGGACGACTTTGGAATTTGTGACATTCTCCCTGGAAAGTATCATAATGTCATATGTCATCTTAGCAAATTGATACTAGCTTATTAGTAATTGATACTCAAAATTAGACTAAAATCATATTGGCTTTACATTGATTATCTAACTTCGAGTATGAGGTGTTTGGATCTGATTCTTAAAACTGCTTCTGCTCCTTCACGGAGCAGAAATAGAAGTTGCAGTGTTTGAGTGAAAGTACAAAAAGTGATTCGGATGAAAGTACAAAACTGATTCCGACTGCGGTATTTGTCGTCGGAATGATTTATTTGAATTAATTTGACATGGGTCTCACCCTTTTCATTTCATGATGCAGACATTTTAAGCTGCCATTGACTGCACGAAGACAGTGGCAAGAAAGTCTGGCCGGGTTCATGAGACCGAATGCATTCTGGAATAAGATGGTTTCGCATTCTGGAAGTTCGTGCTCCTGCATAATTGCCTAATAGAGAAGGGAGGCAGAACGCATTAAAAAGAATTTCTCGTGAACTGGGAAGAAGAAGAAGACTTGGAGTGAAGTTTGTTATCACAACGATCACTATCATTGACTGATAGTTTCTTGGGGTTTCTTCATTTTCTGTAGTGAGAGGAAAGAAAGTATCTTTTAGTTGCTCTGCGTTCTCCAAGCACATTTGCTCGGAAAAGGGAAGAAAACACCGTCTGCATGAATGGCCGGAAAGGGTGCTTGTCCTCCGGCGAGGAAAGCCGGAGTCTGCGTGGACGGAAAACGCTCTGCTTCGAAGCCTCCGTCTAATAACTTGCCCTGCATTTCAGCCATTGCCGAGCGACTAGCTTCGCTCGACAGCTCCCAGCCCTTAAACGACGGCGTAGAGTTCCGCCAGCTATGCATCCTCCTTTCAAGGTATCTATACAAAGGTGTTAGCTTCTTGTCATAAAGTTTGAATTTTTAGTCTTCCTTTTTTCGACTTCTCAAACGGTTGATTTTTTGCCGACGTATAAAACTGGAAAGGGCTTTAATTAATGGTACTGAGAAGTTCGAAGAGTTATGGTAGCTTCTCAAAGCCGCTTGATGAATACTGCGCATTAATGGTTTACCATAGAAATGAATACTGAGAAGTTTTGAATTTTTCTATATATGTAATCATTTTCCAGTTTTTGGCCACTTCTGTAAATGTATTTAAAATTTGATCCTGAAAAAAATCCAAGAATATATTCAATCCATCTGTTAGAATCCTTTTCCAGTTTGGAAAGATTTGGAACATGCTAACTATTTAATTTGTTCATCTGAAGGGGTGTGGCGGGTGATGGGTTGGGTTGGGGATATACTCAATCCCTATGGAGTTAGATTAAAAGTTCATACGGGGTGGTGGGATCGATTAAAAGTTCATCCAAAAATCTATTCCATCCATAATCCATGTAATAATTAGATACACCCAATCCATCTGTTAGCAAGATTTCCATGGGTGAATTTTCAATTTATCCACTTCTTTAATACAGTATCATTTTTACATGAACAAAGTAATTAACAGAGAATTTAATCATTGATGAATGTGATTAGTTTGATGGTTTTGAATTTTTGGTGCAATTATAATGCTTCTTAAGGCGGTTGGATGAATTTGAAAAAACAATACGGAGTAGATGGAACACTATTCATCCGTACAGTACAAATGGATGGGTGAAAATATGTAGTAAAACAATTATTGGAGTATTTTGTTTTTAATGGATGGGTTTCTCTTTACATGAACTGTATGGGCGATGTAAAGATGGAACTCTTTGCCCTTTTACATCGTCTGAAGGGGAGAATGCACAATTTCTTGGGTTATCATGGTAATACGTAAAATGTAATTGTGGATTCTTGAAATTTAAAAAATATGTATGGTTGCACTTTTCCACCTATTCACGTAATATTTTGAAATAAGAAGTCTTCCTACCCACTTTTGATTCACATATAGTGTTATCGACTGAATATTTGATTTTTATAGGGGAATTGATAATTCCATTGCCAGCCAGGAGATTCCCCCTGATGCTTCAGTTTTACCTCCACTGTTGAAGCAGGTATGTTCAAATGGGGAATTAAGATTGTGGTCTACTCCTGACTATATGCTATCAGCTTCCAACATCATATAACATGTTATAATGTTATACTAGTATGAATCTGTACTTTCTCATCTAAACTGAAAAGTTGAAAATATTCCACTTTTGGTCTCACGAGTGTCGTTCTTATTGTTGGTCCCTGACTTTCATTTTTCTACTTAGGTCCCTTGCCTATATATTTTTGGTCACTTATGGTCCTTCCGACTCCTTATCCTGTCAATTTCCATACAACTTCCGGTAGACTTTCACCGTATAAGTCATGGAAAGGACCAAGGTTGGCAAGATAGTCAGTCATGCACCAAAAGTGGGAAGAATGTAAGTTGTGGAGATCAAAAGTGGATTTTTTTTCAAATGATCATATAAAACATGAGGTACCTATAAATATATAAATTTCTTCAAATTGAAGCTCTTGGCAAATTATCCATTATTCACATAAATCAAACGACAATTCCTCTGCCCTTGAAATGAAAACATTGCAGTACCCATATTTGAACCCTCTTAAAATTACAAAGTCCTTAGATGTTTTTTTACCCTTCAACACATTCGATGGAAGATGTGCGCTTTTCTTGCTTTCCTTTTTTGTTGTCCCAAATAAGTGTCACATTTCCCTTTTTGAAAAGAAATATGTGGTCTACATCATTTTATTATACTCAAATCTCAACAACAACTTTTACTTTTTTAACCATTTTATTAATAATTGTGCCAAACCAAAGTAACACACATAAAATGGGACGGAGATAGTACAAGTTTGCTATTGCCAAACCAAACAAGTTTAGTAATTATGCCAAACCATTTCTCTTGCTTTATTAAGGGCTTTACTGCACCCGTAGTGCCTTTTTTGGGCAATGTTCAGTTCTATTGTCATCATATTTACATAAAATGCGACCATGTATCAAGTTTAACATCTTTTCTCCATATCACGTTTGATACCAGGTGTGTAGGCGCAACAATGATCTACCTGCTCTAGCAGCTGTTATGGCCCTAATGTTTTCTGTTAAAGTAATTGCTCAATGCCAGTAACCTCTTTTGCCATATGACTCGATTTTGTTACCAATGATTTTCAATTTTTTTGTCTGTCATGATCTGTTACAAGATATGGTCTTTCTTCTGTACTTCATTGTATCAAGTTTACAGATAGTTACCCTTCTATTGTTAAATCATTAGTAGAACAGTTTTGACTGCCTGTTACTTCAACTGACGTTCTGCTAAGTGGAGGCCTTCCAGGTGTTTTCCTTACTAGATAGTATTCATGAAGGATGCCAAGTCCACGGCTTAAATATGACGGACACAAGATTTTTTTTTTGAATCAGCCAATCATCAATTAAGCATTATGTTGACTGACTCTATTGTGTATGTGTTTACTGTTTTTATTATTATTTCAAATTAGCAATAGAAGGCTACTTACTCATATTGGTGTCATGTGGTTTCAATAAATTGTTGGATGCATTGCCAATATCTAAAATAATTAGGTTTTGTGTCATTCGCTTGCTACTACTTTTTGAGCTACTGAGCAATAATGCATCGTTCATATAAAAATACTAAGCTCAAATGCCCGTGCAAGCTAAACACTCTGCTGGGAAATGATACGTAAATGACTTCATAATGGAAAGTAGAGTTCTTTGAAAAAATCAGGAAAACATTCCTACCAGACAAAATGATCAATTTCCTCTAGGATCTTGAAACAAGGGCACACCATCATACTTACGCTAAATACTGTATGTTCTTCTAATTGAGGATGATGGCTTGCTTTGGATGGTTATTGCATACTACTGAGTTGGAGATCATGTCAAGATGCTGGATAGGAAATCTGAAAATTTAATCGACGTGCATACAGATTTATCTTTTTACTTCGCACATCAAACCATGGGTGTTAATTCTCAAGTGTACTATTATTCTAGACCTAAGTAGCACGGAAACGGGAAACAGGAAACGGGAAACACGGGAAACGTAATTTCTAAAAAATATAGGACACGAAACGTGGGGGAAACGCGTAAATATCATAAAATATAAGGATATATTTATAAATATTTTTTATATATGTACACAAGTTTTTCCATATGCACATGTTTTTTTAATATAATTTGTTTAGTAATCAAATAATAAAATCACTCTACATGTTCGAATTTAGATATTATTTCATATTAGTACATAATTAAACATAAAATGTACAGAGTAATACATTTCTAGCAATACATTGTGTTACGAAATGTAACAAGTGTTGCCTCTGAGAAATACCACAAAAATTCACCATAAAAAATTATTTTCCACCACAGAATCTTTTGAAAAAGAAAAAAATGGAATCCGAGGTTTCCGAAACGTAGTGAAACAGGTTTCCAAATTTTTCTTAATTACGGAAACGGCCCCGAAACGGGAATTTGAAGTTTCCGAGTTTCCGAAACGCTTCCAAGTTTCCGAAACGTGGAAACGTGAGTCATGGAGAGTTTCCATGCTTCCTAGTTCTAGACTCATTTTAGTGTTTTCTGGCTTGGAGCGTCGGAGACACTGGTCATTACTTCTTATGTGTATCATTTGTTGGACTTGTTAATGTTAATACAACTATTTCTTTGTCTAAAGATTAAGCATGTGAACTGTGAAGTGCAACTGTTCTTACAAATTTGAATTGGTCATAATTTGTAGAGTGCTTGCAGTACTGGGTGGTTTTTGGACAAAGATTCTGAAGAGCTTCACCATCTGGCAAATGAGGTTTGTGTAGTTTTAACTAATGTTCCAGCTCCTCTGTATCATTAGCTCCTTTGGTAGAAGTTATCCCTTTTGTTTATTTGTTGCATATTCAGATGTATAGTGGCTTCTGCAGTACAACAAATTTCAGAAGCGAACCTAGCAGTTGCTTGCCCGCTATCTCAACAATTATGTCAAGGTAGGAGACTTTGCCTCTCCTTTCTTGCCTTGTAGCTTGAATGTGTGATATTTTTTTGAAATGTTTGAATTTTAGTATTTCTGATAACTCAATGACATTGATCTATATGATTGCATATTCTTTCTGTAATTTCTGCATTGCAGTATTATGGTTGTTAGATTAACAGGCTTTGCTTTAGTGAAGGACAATGTTAGTTGTTACCGCTTTAGCTTTTATTTCTCTTCAAAAACTACAAAAGTTTTTTCCTTATCTGTGATGAGTGGCTTTCTCTGCCCAATGCTTCTGAAGAAATTTTGCACTGACAGATTCTTTCCCCAATTGAGGATGGGTCACATACTCGCCTTTCTTGAAATAAAGGTATTGATGTGTTTTTCTCTTTGCTTTGTTTCATCCCACCACACCTAGCGGAGAGGGTGGGGTGGTCGTTGGCTCAAATAATCATAAACTAATACAGTTTTTACTTTTCCCAATTGTAGCCTGGATTTGGTGCATATATATATGACTTCTTTGTGTCACGGGACATGCGGTCATCTCCAGAAGCAGTTATAGTATGCACCTCCATTGTTTATTATACTTCATGCTTAAATTTGTATCTCAAATGAGTTTGAAATGATTCTTCATTGGTAGCAATAGTCTAGGTGCTTTCAGCCTACCCTATTTAATGATTCAACTTCTTTTAGGTAATACTCCATCCACATGTTTCTAAACCCAAAAAATACTAGGCAATTGAGGATTTGAAATAAAAGTATTTGCTAGGACAATATGTAGACTTATACTTTGGCAGAGTCGAACTAGAGTCTGAGTAAGACTTTGTTGAGCAGAGTGTTAATTTCTTAACTCATTCTTAAATAAGCATTTGGTTAATCTTATTATTGAATCATGTCTTGTCCAACCTTTGCTGTATTAGAGAGTGTCATTGTCCAATGATTCTAGCTCTCTTATAGCTATCCACATTTCTCGTGGTGAGGGGAATAGCCAATCACTTCATTTCAGAACCTGCATCTATTTACAACCCATTTTGTTTCTTTTTTTCCAAATCTTATTTATGTTGAAAAAGTTAACTTTTCCCACTTCTTATTTATGTTTGAAAAGGTTATTAAATGTGAAGCCTGCTTACAATTTGATTATGGCTCACATTACAATTTCATTTCTCTACTGCAGAGATTACTTGCTGCCCAAATAGACAATATGGAGACATCGTCATGTCTCATAACGCCTCCTAACGTGAAGTATAAAGCCCTTGTCTATGGTCTTTCTGACTAACCCCACATTCTTCTAGTGGATTTCTCTTGTAGAATATTTCATAATGTGTCTGCTCTTGACAGTCTTTCATATTTTGTTATTGCAGTTTTCTCATCAATGGGAAAGGGATAAAAAACCGATCCGATCAGTCAATTGTATGTCCATTGAATATGAAGCTTTATTCATATATGTAATCCCTGATGGTTTGCAATTCTGGGAATTGCTATTTAGTTTTTTTTTTTAAATCTATATTATTTCAATAGGATACTGGACCTCAAATTCCAACAGCTGTGGCAGATATGCTTGTGATTGGAGTAAACCTTCTTCAAGCTGTGGGCCAGTTTAATGGTTTGCTCAGAAAACTTTATTTGCAATATCTGAAATGTGTGTATGCTGTTTAAATTGTAAAATGTCTTACTTTTTTAAAATCATTCTGAAGGAAGTTATATAATTGCCATTGCCTCTATGACTATGGCGGAGACCCCAAATACCATCACTCTTCCAGATTATGTGAAAACGGTATCTGCCTCAGTTGATTCAGGTGTGTATAAAGTATTTTGTGTGGTTATCTATCTTTAGTATTTTCTGTATGTTTTCATGGCATTTTGGAAGAAGTGTGAAGTTTATATAGTTATAACTAATGTCCATGGAGATATGTGTTCTTGTGTTACTGAAAACTCATGTTACCCCTCTGTGTTCTTATTTTGCATGCCCTGAAATTGCAATCACTTTATGGCTTCTACTTTTGTGAGTTTTAAGTGCTTTAATGGATGATGCACGTGTATGCCGGGGGTGTTGGATTCTCATTTGTATTCAAACTTGTACTACGTATTTTTTATTTGCACTGATATAACAGTTTAAATTTGTTTTTATGAGTTTGTGAAACAAATTTTAAGTATTAATTTTAAATGTCCACAGAGTTATTTGATTTATATGAGCTCTAACGATCATGTATGCACACACCATATATGTGATCCTTTACAATGTTTAACAATTCATTTTTATCTGTCGAGGTGTTTTGCATTTTTTAGGCGAGGCATAAGCCTCCAGGTGGTACGCCTCAAAATATATTCGATACTTTACAATTTAAAATCACAAACAATCTTAAACATATTATCAATCGTGTACGTAGAAAACAAGTTAATATAAAGTTATTTGTCCTTGATTAAAAAAAATCAAATGCAAAAATATGCGGAGAAGAAAAGGTTGCAGATAAGTTAGAAGTGTCGCCTAAACAAAAGTTGAGGATATTAATATAGTAGAGCAATTTGAATAAAAAGAAAAAATAAGGGAACTTTCTAAATTTAACAGTCAGATTTGTGGTATTTCGCAAAATAAACCTCCCAATTTCCCATTTACTTGTTCTTAACATGAAGGTTTACATAAGTTTTTCAGGGTATTTTGGCATACATCATGTTTATATCAAGAAATGTGAATAGGAGAGGGGTCAGTTTGAGAAATGCCACAAACCTGACTGGCCTGAGGAAATCTCATAGAAAATAAAGAAATTGTGCTCTCTTACTTCTCTAGGTCTTTTGTAATTGTTCGAATCAAAAGAAAAAGGAGTAGCTGAAGTTGTCTGAACAGGAGAATAGAGGTGGTAGCTCAGTAGCTCTGCTTCTCTGTGCTAGGAGTGCTGAGTACTTTCTTGGCTATATATAAGAGTTGAGCTTTATAACTAGAGTGTCTGAAGATAATTGCTGATTTCAACATAAAGGCTTAAGGATTTTATTGGGCTTAGTGGATAATTAATAAAGATAATAGGTCCAATAATCTAATACTACGTATAATTTTCATTAAAAAGTAATAAGGCAAGACAAATGTTAAAACAAAAACTGAGGCTTAAGCCTCACAAAAAGCCTCAGCCATCTGAGGTTTAAGCCTGGGTTGATTCAGTTCAGGAAAAAGCCTCAAGACCATTTTTTAATGTCTCACATTGAGGCAATCCTCAAGGCACGCCTTAAAAACACCTTTTTAAACCATGATCCTTCATGCTAGTTGGAAATGATATCATAACGCAGTTTTCATAAATTCCTCACGACATTCGCATGATGTGTTGGTGCATTTCCTTAGCTATATACCTTATTATGCCCACACACAACATTAAAAGTACTTCTACGACATGTAGATTCTGAGATGATTGAAGGGCCATCGAGAATCTCATTGAATTGTCCCATAAGGTATGGTATTCTGGTTTTACGACATATCACTACACCAGTAGTATGCATATACCAGTGAACACATAACATTCACTCTTTTTCTCACATCTTTGTTTCTTTCTGTATTTATTTCTTACTTCTTAGACTCTTACTTCCTCTTTCTCTCTTCCCCATTTCTCATACTAATTATGAATGTTATCATGTTATGTGTGCACCTTTCTTAAAGATATATACATCTTTGTCTCAATCCTGGATGTAATATATAAGCACTCTGCTGATAGCTTTGTCTTTGGATGTGCAGCTTCACGCGCATTAAGATTCCTGTTAAAGGCCAGTCATGCAAACATCTCCAGGTAGATAGTTATGAAGCGTATTAAAATGAAAAAGTTACAAATATTACAGATTACGTTTACACTGTTGTGTTTTGGTTCAGAAATTGCTTTTTATGTTGTTTGTATTAGGGTGGAAACTTAATTTTGTTTAGTTTGTAATCTTCCTCTCAACTTTAAGTCTTTTTATTTCCTTCATTTCCAATGGAGCCGAAGACTCACTATATTTTGGCTTGGGAATATGATGGAATAAAGCAAAACGGCTCACTAAATTGTCTGCGCTTTTTTGTTATGAAGCATCAGTCAATCCATGCAATTTTCGACGCGATTTTCATCATGCGTCATCCGGAAACAGTCTCTCTGTGCTTTAGTACAGAGGTAAGGCTGCGTACATCCGACCCCCCTTACCCTCCACCGTAGGTGGGAGCCTTTGCGGCACTGGGGTAATGTTGTTGTTTGTTTTCATTTTTGGTTTGTAATTTGTTTCTTTCTCGAAAGGGTTTAATGTTGTGAAGTTTTAGATCTTATTTTGCCAATAATGCAGTCTAACCCGACATGTTTATTTCTCCAATAGTGTTTTGATTATAACAATTATCTTGACATCAATTCAAGAAGACCATTGTGGCGCTGTCCCCATTGCAACCAACATGTCTGCTTTCCTGATATCCGTATTGATCAAGTTATGGCCAAGGCATGTACTCGTAGTAAAGTTATTTCACTTTGTATATTGCTTGACAGTAAGTTTTCTCCGTATTAACTTCTTTTTTTCAAGGTTTTGGAACAAGCTGGAGAATACATCAATGACGTGATAATCTCTGTAGATGGTTCGTGGAAGGCTATCATAGAAACTGATGATGACCATCAACAAAGGCCACCCAATAAAACCGATGATTTTGCAAAGAATGAAACATTGCAGTCAGATTTCAGGGAAGTTAATTTGAAGCGGGAAACGATTGAAGATCTTATAGCTTCTGCAGAAAACTGCCAAAAGCCTGATACTAACAATCTGGATCAGGCTGAGCACTCTTTTAATATGGGGGATTTCTGGTCAAGAGTTCTTCACTCAACATATGCTTTAGAGACAAGTAGTTCTACAAGCAATGAGCAGATGGGTAGTAATCCTCAGCGCACTCCGACAAATTTGACTAATGATCTTGTTCCAGCCTATGAAGCATCATCCTCCAAAACAATGCAGTCACAACGGATCCCATTTGAAAATTCAGTTGCCAACAACGAATATGGAAGGTCCCCATCAATAACTAGATATGCTGTAAGCAGAACACCAATTGCAGTTCAGGCCCTTCCTGCCCAGACCCGCTCTCCTTTGCGGCCACCTGTAAATACCATGAACTCTCTTCATTCCTTCCCCTCGGGAACTTCTCGGCACTCTCCTTCCATACCATTATTAAGATCAACAGGCAGGACGGTAAGTTTTTCCCTTGCTACTATAGTACTATGGGTGAGCATGGATGGGACTGGACTAAACGTGTATTCTAAAACACCCATCCTGTCTCATGTACCAAGCAATAGTTCTTTTTGAAGGCTAAAGAACTGGTACCTTTCCAAAATCGAATAGCACCTATCCCGTTTTGTACCAATTTTCAGTTTGGCCCGAGAAGGTTCTTCAGTAAATTCTGGTTCTAAAAGTTAATTACATCATACATAACATGTCATTAGTAGAACATTGAACTTGAAAAGGTCTAATTTTTAATTTCAACCACGAGTTTAAAAGTACATTTTTAAAATACCAAGAAAAAAATGATCATATATATGCACAAACACATGTGCAGCATATGTGCAACATATGTGCATATGTGTATATTAAAATTAACAGTTATTCTGGATGATATGGGATGGTTCAAGGATGCTTCTGGTATAATTATCACTAAAGAACCAGTACATGGTGGGACTCCCCGATCCATGCTCACCCCTAGTTACTATTACTATTTCTAGTTATAGCAAATAAGAACTCCTTGTTTGGACTCACAATCTCTTTTTACCTTGATACTTATTATAGCAGCTCAGAATGTATGTCCATGTGTATTCTTCTGATTTATTTCTTGTGGTAATGTTGGCAGCCGCCTGGTTATTCTTTTTCTGGTACTCCATACGCAGCTCAGCAGCAGTTTGTTGACCTACAATGTCAAAATCAAGTACCTGTTCCTTTCAGAGCACCCTCAGGTTTCACAGGTGAACCAACAAGCACTACTCAGCATCGAACACCGAACATGCAGCCACTTAATGCCACAAGTCAATCTCAAGGAATTACACATAGTTGTGTACAACAGGCAAGACGAGACGTTCACAGCCAACATAATCAGGCGACAGAGGCTGCCATGCGGATCTCCCAGGTGGCAAAGCCTGTTCAGCTGTCTACAGCTCCACCACATCCTCGTCCAAATGTACCTAGGGAGTCATTGGCAAGCACCGAAATGGTTGGAAATATTGGAGGACACTTGCCACTGCATTCACAGTCAGACCAAAACTGGCGCCCCTCAGGCCGTATGCGTGGAAGCCTATTGGGAGAAGCATACAATGATGCTCTCAACCATTACATGGTTCTGCCAACACAGCAAGCTCAAGCTAGCAGATCCACCAGTGCAATCTCCCCGCAATTGCAGACCATACTTGCAAAGAGAGTCACTTCCACTCCTATAGCAGATCAGCCTGCACCAGCTACTACATCTCATGCCTCATCTTCTTTGTCATAGTGCATGCATCAGGTAGTGTAAGCGTGAGACAATGCTATTAGGGAGGTAAACACCCAAAGTTTACTATAAGGGAGGGGTTAAGAGCAATTCTGGGTGATTTGAATTTTGAGTCAATGCTACTCGTTAGTTATTAGAAGTCCCAAATTACCCTGCACAAGGCTATTAGGGGGTTATGCTCTCACCATTTTGTTTAAACTCCCTCACCTCCACCTTAAATCTCTCAAATATAGTTTGTATATTCTGCAACATATTTTCAGGTCCATATTTTCATATTTTCAACTAAATTTGAGTTTGCATCTTATTTTCTAAATTTCAGGCTAAGAATGTTTCCATCTCATTTTTCCAAACTTTCGGGTGCGAAAACTAATTATTATAAAAATGTGTGCAAATGCAAACTTGGCTGAAAAATGAGGTGCAAACTAAAAAAACTTGGTTGATCTAATGATCTTCCAATGCCAGTTCTTCACTTCAAACTTGGCTGTCTTAAGCCTCTTTTGAAGTATTTGTGTTGCCACTCGTCTATTCTTTTTTATGTTACTTAAATGTGGCCATTAGCAATTGTTTTAACGTATAGGTAGCTAGGTGCCTAGGTGCGATATTTATCTAACTAACAACAGGTGGAATTTCTACATGGTGATTGATGACCCTGTATTTTAAATAAAATAGTAGACCAAGTTTGTAGGAACTTAAATGACAATCTTGTAATTTTATATTTGAGCGAATGATTTAAATAGGATACCTGTTAAGAAAATGTTTTTTAAATGAAATATCGTCTACATAAAAAAAAAAACAATATGGACTAAAAATGACTCAAGGTATTCAAACAACTCCTGTAAGTTGAAAATTCAACTGATTCCAACTGAATTTTTCATATACTGTAGCATTTGTAGGCAAGAGGAGAAAGGTTACAAAATTTGAAGTGACCTCTGTGTACAGATTATATCGTACTACGTATGTAAAACTGTGTCTCTCTGTGTGCTGGTAATCCATTCGGCCTTTTCATTGCCCCCAACACAGAGGAGATTCATTTTATAATTTTGTGAAGTACTCGGTATTTCATAAGGAATTAGTATTTGTTATTTTTGATTTGTTTGAGGATACGTTATTTGTTAGTGCCAAAATTTTGAAACTGTTATGAAATGGAAGCAAATATGGAAATAAGAAAGAAGAGCAGAGAGAATATATTAAGTATGCTTTTAAGAGAGGTGAGCTCCAATTTATAGGAGAGAGGTGAGCTCCAATTTATAGGAGAAAGTGTGAGCTCAATTGGATTAAAAGATATAATGATTATGAGTCACACACTTAATTATCACCGTCATAATTATGATTTCCTAATTTTTTAGATAATAGTAATAATTTCTAATCATGAATAGTGAGAAGATGACTAATTCAAATCTCTTAACATAAACTTAATTATTTAGAGTTTATTTAGCCGATTTTTTTGATATTTTTCTGGTTAGACATACAAACCAATAAAAGCACATCTATAGAGATTCAGTGGATCTTAGCTTCCTAATGACTTGTGTACATCCATCCGCGTGAATATGTATCCATTTGGATAATAGCGTTTCCGTCAATCCGCCGAATGAGTTGAACTACAAACCGCTGCATAGCACTCTACCCGCTGAAAAACAAACGGAGCCTATGTCTTCAATTGAATACGACAATAATGTTTATGAAAATGTTGCTAATATTAAAATGTAACTAATACTATAATGTAATTAATATTAAAATGGAACTAATATGATAAAGTGACTAGTATGAAAATGTGGCTAATATTAAAATTCAACTAATATTAAAATGTGGCCAAAACGACTGATTTTGCTGAATTTTATGAATTTGGCTGAATTAGTTGATTCTGCTAATTTGTGAAAAAATTATATTTAAAATATGTTTTATTAATAAAATAAAGAAAAAATTATATGTAGAAATAGCTAAAAAGGTACTCCCTCCATATTCTAAAGTTTGTTACACTTTCCTTTTTGGGACGTATTTAAAAGTTTGCTACACTCTCACTTTTGGTAAGTTTTTTCCTTTACAAATACTCAATTACCCTTACTTTTTCCACCTTTTATCTTCTCTTTCATACTTTTACACACTTTCCAACTTTTTCTACACTATTGATTACTCCTACTATTTTATCATAAAACTTTGTGCCCAAACCTAATGTAGAGAACAACTAAATACGGAGGGAGTACTATACAGTAACTTAAGCCGATACAGCCAAAAAATTTACTTCAACCTTACTTTTTTTATTATTACATAACTCAACGTGCGAAATCATAAGTTACATGTTTGATGAAAAAGCTTATTGATAAGCCCGATAATCTCAAAAACAATGTTACCAAACGAGCTCATAATTGTTTGCAAGTATGGACGTTACATCTACCAATATTGTCACTCTCTCTCCAATACACATAAGACATATGCAACCTTTTTGCATTAGTCTCTTGGTATGTTTGACAAGTTTTTCCCTATGTTAACAGAACCGGATAGGATTGGGCGGGTCGACCTGGAAATCAACGACCCAACACCTAACCTTGTCCCCATGATATAACAACGGCGCCGTTTCACATATTTGCTTAAAGTTAAATTTCCTAATAAGATCATTAGTATTACTACGGACTGATAATTAAAATTTTGCATGTTCACAAATTGTACTACGTAATATATAATGCTACATTGTTTGACTTCATGCATATTAAGGAAATAAATTTATTAAGAAGGTAAATTTTTGGGGGCATTTAACTTTGCGCCCCACTTTTTGGGTCATATTGGACTTTACACCCTATTTTGTAAAAGCTTTGACTTTGCACCCATCATATAACATTTTGTGTATAAAAGTTCCTGGATGGGGCGCAAACTCAAAGGATTATTAAGTGAAACGGGGTACAAATTCAAAGCTTTCGGAAAACATAATCCAAAGTCTAATATCACCCAAAAAATGTTGTGTACAATCAAATTCTCCCTAAATCTTTTTGTAGAATATGATGTTTTGACATTGTTTCATACTACCTCCGTCCCGCTATTAACTTCCTGCTTTCCTTTTTGGGACGTCCCAAAATTATCTTCTCATTTCCCTAAATGGAAAGTTTCTCTACATCAATACAGTGTCAAACAGTGCAAAACTGTGTCAAACAGTGCTAAACAGTGTCAAACAGTGTCTAAACAGTGAAGTCAAATTTAATTCCTAAAAATGTGTGAGGGTCAAAGTAAGAACTTAAAAACGGGACAGAGGGAGTACTATTTTGTAGGGATGGCAATTTAATCCGACCTGGTGGATACCCGCACCGAACCGGTCAAAATGGGAAAAACTGCTTTGACCGGGTAACGGGTACGGGGCGGGGAATAACCGATTTAAGTAAACGGGTAATGGGGCGGTTATGGATTTATACCTACCCGCCCCGATACCCGCCCCGATACCCGCCCCGATACCCGCCCCGTTTAGTTTGGATACGGTTACCCGCACCATTACCCGACCCGCACATTAACTTATATATTTTCATAGATTATTTACTTATTACCGAGTAGTATATATGAGTAAATATTCTATTAAGTATATATGAGTATATTAATATATTAAGTACGGAGTATGTTGGTATATATGAACTCATTCCCTCTAATATTAAATTAAGCATAGATGACTATTACTTTGAAACAATATTCACTAATCATCTATCCTTCATATTTGGATTTACTGTCGGGATAAGACAATAATTAATTTGTGGTGCTAATTAATTCTTAGATTTTAAGCAAGATTGTTAAAATCGTATTTTTATATCAAATCAGTACAACCATTTGAAAATTGAATCACAGATCATAGGAGTTTATAAAAACATTCGGCAATAACTATTGAAAAATACTAGATAAATTAAAACTGGAAATTTATCTTTAATAATGTCCAATCATAAATTTAAATCTTAAGACGTTGTCTTACACAAAGTGCACAAAATAATTATAACTTAATAGTGTTGGATTTTAAATATTCCAACAAATAAGTATGATGTTTTATTATCAAATTTCATATGTAGTCTTTATGCTACAAAAAATTCTTCCCACATACCTTTTGGCTCGTCCCTAAAAATTCTTCCCATTTTCCTTTTTGGAAAGGTTTGTGTGTCTATCATTCATTTACATTTTTCACACTCAACCACAATCATACATATCCACTTTATTCGCACTTTCTTAAACTCCAATCCAAATCAAATCGGGAAGAATTTTTGGAGATGGAGGTAGAAATATATACTAGTGGTGAAAGGACATGTACACTTAAGAATTGAAATACAATAATTATCTTAATCTTAATAGTTCGAAAAAGTAGAATACGAAGTAGTTTTTGTTTTTTGAATGAACAAAAATACGAAGTGGTTAGTATAGCTAAGTTAATCAACTATACTCATTGCCCTTGATATGCAAAAAGTCGAGGCCTACATGGAGCACCGAGCACCTCATTAAAAAAGAAATTCCTTCGTTATACTCCGTACATACGGAGTATTACGTAGTTCTCCTACACGTTTCCCACACCGGAAAGAGTGGGGGATTTACCCTTTTTGTTGTCTTATAAAATGTTGAACCTCGTTAGCAACGTTAAAGCAACAATTTCTATTTCCCACATCGGAAATGGTGGGGGATTTACCCTCTTTGTTATCTTATAAAATGTTGAATCTCGTTGGCAAAGATCAAGCAACAATTTCTATTAATTGCTTCAGGCCGGATGAAAATGGGCCATGCATAGCTGGGCAGTGCCACTTAATCTTGTCCATGTAATAAAACGGTTACCCGCGAACCCGTGGGGAAAACCGTTCCCCGTTCTAACCGGGTTCAGTTTGGGGAAAAATTTACCCAACGGGTAACGGGGCGGTTTCGGGTAGAAAAATTATTTAACGGGGCGGGTACGGGTAATGGTATACTCGCCCCCGAACCGCAACCGCCCCGTTGCCATCTCTACTATTTTGCTTTGTTTGGCATTGTTGGATCTGAATTTTATCGGATGTCCCCCAAGGGACGGTTGGATATAAATTTGTTTATCAAATAAATGACAGATATGAGAAATGGGAATTTAATCTTGAGGTCGTTTTAAATTAATACGAAGTAATAATTCAACTGGTCCTTTGACCTGCGCGGAAAGGTAACTAACCGGTGTTCACAAATTTGCGCGCGAGCTAGAAGACGCCATATTTTGCGAGCTTTAGAGATGGGAGATCTTTCAAAATCATCCGTTTTTTTCTCCGATCAACATCTCTGCTACGCCGATATTCTCCCTCCATCGCAGGTTCTTTGTCATGTCTCTCAAGAAATGTATGTGCGTATATATATTACAGATTCCGAAATTGAGTATATGTACAGGTTCGAGCTAGAATCGAGGTTGCAGTCCTAAATTTCCTCAGATCCCTAACTTCTAGCTCCCCTTCAATCTCCGATCTTCCTCTGGTATGATTTCCTCCCCTAACCTTGAGGACATAATCTGGATTGATATTTTTTTTCTCGAGTGTCTATATTCCATGGAAATCGCTATTTGTCGTAAGTGTGTCGCGCATGCACTTAATTTATCTAAATTATGAAGATGAACTTTGTTTTTCTTTGCCGTTTTTTTTCTCCGTTGATTTTTATGTGAAACAGATTAGTAGAAGTTCGAGCAATAGCAGAGTGAGTCGAGGACTTTTGAGTGATGAGTCGTCTATTTTTCTCTCTTATTCATATTGTACGCGTTCGTTAATGAGGGAGAATACTGCTAAGTCTTTTGTAAGAGGTAAGGAGTTAAAATAATCCGTATTTGACTAATTTCAGAAATTAGGAAATTTACATTTATTTTTATCCTATTCAAGTGTGGAAGGTTATGGAAATGTGCTACCAAGTTTTAAATCAAGAAGGGAAAAAGGTGACCCAAAGAGAATTATTCTACAAGCTTCTTTGTGATTCACAAGAGTATTTCAAAACTCAGTTGCAGGTCAACAGCACAATCCAAGGTATTAAGATCATTCATGTATTTTTTTCCATTATGATAGTTTAAATCTATGCGACATCCAGTGGATTCACATAGTGCTTTTGAAAATTTAAGATTTGGTAGCATTGCTTCAGTGTAGTCGCTACAGTCTTGGAATAATGGCATCCAGCAGAGGAGCAGTTTCGGGCCGACTTTTGCTACAGGCATCGAGCTCTTACCCTCCTTTGCCGCCTGAAAACTTATTTATTCACTTCAGACTTAACTTGCTAATGTTTACGGACTATACTATGGAATTAGTATTATAGTATTGTATTGTATTGTATTGTATTGTATTGTATTGTATTGTATTGTATTGTATTGTATTGTATTGTATTGTATTGTATTGTATTGTATTGTATTGTATTGTATTGTATTGTATTGTATTGTATTGTATTGTATTGTATTGTATTGTATTGTATTGTATTGTATTGTATTGTATTGTATTGTATTGTATTGTATTGTATTGTATTGTATTGTATTGTATTGTATTGTATTGTATTGTATTGTATTGTATTGTATTGTATTGTATTGTATTGTATTGTATTGTATTGTATTGTATTGTATTGTATTGTATTGTATTGTATTGTATTGTATTGTATTGTATTGTATTGTATTGTATTGTATTGTATTGTATTGTATTGTATTGTATTGTATTGTATTGTATTGTATTGTATTGTATTGTATTGTATTGTATTGTATTGTATTGCATTGCATTGCATTGCATTGCATTGCATTGCATTGCATTGCATTGCATTGCATTGCATTGCATTGCATTGCATTGCATTGCATTGCATTGCATTGCATTGCATTGCATTGCATTGCATTGCATTGCATTGCATTGCATTGCATTGCATTGCATTGCATTGCATTGCATTGCATTGCATTGCATTGCATTGCATTGCATTGCATTGCATTGCATTGCATTGCATTGCATTGCATTGCATTGCATTGCATTGCATTGCATTGCATTGCATTGCATTGCATTGCATTGCATTGCATTGCATTGCATTGCATTGCATTGCATTGCATTGCATTGCATTGCATTGCATTGCATTGCATTGCATTGCATTGCATTGCATTGCATTGCATTGCATTGCATTGCATTGCATTGCATTGCATTGCATTGCATTGCATTGCATTGCATTGCATTGCATTGCATTGCATTGCATTGCATTGCATTGCATTGCATTGCATTGCATTGCATTGCATTGCATTGCATTGCATTGCATTGCATTGCATTGCATTGCATTGCATTGCATTGCATTGCATTGCATTGCATTGCATTGCATTGCATTGCATTGCATTGCATTGCATTGCATTGCATTGCATTGCATTGCATTGCATTGCATTGCATTGCATTGCATTGCATTGCATTGCATTGCATTGCATTGCATTGCATTGCATTGCATTGCATTGCATTGCATTGCATTGCATTGCATTGCATTGCATTGCATTGCATTGCATTGCATTGCATTGCATTGCATTGCATTGCATTGCATTGCATTGCATTGCATTGCATTGCATTGCATTGCATTGCATTGCATTGCATTGCATTGCATTGTATTGTATGATGCTTATCCTAGACTTTTTGCTAGACCTTTTTAGACACTCACTGATATGTTGTGGAAACTTCGAAAGGAATCAGATTTAGAAACTTCTTCGCTAGTATTTGTCAATAGGATTTAAAAGATGATTATGAGATGGGATCATCTTACTTTTACTCGTTTCTAAAAAAAGGAGCCAAACCAAGTGTCTGTGGACTGCTCTGCTTGTGGATCATCTGGTTATGCTATTTCTGGAGACCTGAGCGTGCTGGAAAAATTAGTTTTGAAGTCGGATGCCCGGTATATCATTGTAGTTGAAAAGGTATCTGCTTGTACACATTCCGAGGTGAGTATTTTTTGCAAAGAATGCTGCCATTCGTTGAAACTGGTGCATTTGCAGCATGCTATATTTCACCGCCTCACAGAGGATCGCATTTTCAATCAAATCCCGTGCATTCTAATCACTGCAAAGGGATATCCTGATATTGCCACTAGGTAAAACTTAGCTGAAATTACAAGTAAATCATTTGTTCTTCTTGAGTCTTGAATGTTTAAGTTATAGCCCCAATGCATCCTCTTTAACTACTCAGCTTTAATTCCTTGTTCGTACAAAAATGAGAGCTGATACTTATGGGTTATTGTGCAATTGCACAGGTTTCTTCTGCATAGGATGAGTAGGGAACTTTTTGGCATCCCAATACTGGGTTTGGTGGACTGGTATTTAAATTACTTCCTTGATGGCGCTGCTGCTTCCACTTGAGCAACACACATACTTCATTTGCATCTTCTTCTAAAATGATTTTTAGGAACCCAGCTGGCCTGGCCATACTGTGTACATTCAAGTATGGAAGCATAGGGATGGGCCTGGAAGCTTTTCGATATGGTTCCCTTTTTGCCTTTTTCATTACATGTGGTGTCAGAACAATCTGTTCAATCGGATAGGAATTGATTTGGCTTTCGCCCCAATCTAACAGCTTGCAATGTAAAGTGGCTGGGGTTGCGAAAGGATGACATAGAGAAACTGGTACCGGAAGAATCATTAGTCCCACTGAAGCAGCGAGATCATCAGATAGCAAAAAGCTTGCTATCGTCGGAGGTTTTGCAGGTATAACTTCAAAGATCCCCCCCCCCCCCCATGAACCTGGCCACTAGATGCTGTTGACTTGTGAACTCGTTTGGTTCAGGACAATTACAAAGAAGAATTGGCATTGATGGTTGAGAATGAAAGGAGGGCAGAGATTGAAGCTCTCTACTTCCATGGTTATGATTTCTTGGGAAAGTTTCTTGCAAGGAAAATTGTGCAGATGGATTATATTTGAATTTATACTTCAGTGTATTACATTGTTTTGTCATTTGATTCAGTCACACTCAAGTATAAATGTCTTATTATAAAAGTATACCAAGTAATTTAAAGAGGATTCAGGTTACTTGAGAAGTTTTATTCAATGATTTGACAATGAAAGACTAGTATGTCATGTTCACGTGTAGAATGAAGCATCTCTAGCACAACTGTTGGATTCCGCCATGCAAGAAATGAAACAGTTACTACAATGAAGTACATACAATTCAGTGATCTGCTCATTCTGAAAAATCCTATCTTGAATGCCAGCCTTTTCCCACAAAAATGGAAAAATATGGTCTATGTTTGGTACTGTAATAAGCCATACAAAATTTTCTCAACCTTAGGTTGCTGGGCTTGATTACAGTACCAAACCACCTTTCAGAAGTCAGTTGTGCATCACATTTCAAAATTCTTTATCTATTGACAAATTTTATTGTCGTTAATACAGTTGGCACTTAGCACCCATATTATTTTCGTGGCTGTTGCTCTCTCAGGGAGAGATATAGTGGAAGCCATAAACTCCCACGTAAATTCTAATAACTATAGCCTATAGGGCAAGTTTGGATTCCAATGACCTTGCATCAAACTAACACTATTTACCTTCTCAATCATGGTTTTACAGTTTACTTCCCCCTTCACACCAATATAAACAAACAATCAGTCTTTCCCTCTGCATAAAAATGAACATGAGTCTCATCTTTTAAACAGAGTAACTACGGTACATATGCTTCATGATATATGTTTTATAGAGGCCACACATTTGCAAGAAATAATTCTGGAAGATTTATGACGTGGTTGAGTTGACGTACAATTTGAGAGTACTTTAATTCCGTTACAAATTTAAAAGAGATTCCGAGTTTAGTGAATGAACACACAAAGTAGAATAATTGTTTTCATTTGAATTTGTGAAAATTATAATGGCATTATAATTTATTTTAAGTTATGGTGGAATCCAATTTTGATGTGAATAACCATATTCTGCATGACACATTGACACCCTAAGAAACATAAACACAGGGCATTGCAGATTTACAGTTAGACAAATTGGAAAATTTTCCGGTGATATATTTGTTTCACTGTTTTTACTTTTTGCCAAAGAGTTTAAACAAGAATCCAGTTGATCCAAGATTTAAACGAGCTCAATCTCAGAAAATTGAAGCTCAACCGAGCTCGAGCTTAGCACTACCCGACTAAGAAGAGCTTCATGCATTCAACATTTCAACCAAGAGCTACTCAGTTCGACTCAAATCCTTTATACCCCTAATATTATTTAATAGGATATATAATTTCTATGTTCCAGGCAGTTGAACTACATGTATTGATTTTTTTACACACAAGGCCTAAAAGAATAGAAATCTACTGAAAGTGGTGACATCAGAAGATAATGAAATTGAACTTGAAAGAGAAACTAAACAAAAAATCGGGAAGATCACTAACTAAAATAAGGGCATCAAGAAATGAGACATCAGCCACGCCCAAAGAGTGAAAAGGCCATGCAAAAATTGTTAATAACTCTTGAGGAGAGCTTCGATGGCTTCGAAAAACAATGGAGCCATATCTGGGCTAGGAGTCTTCATTGCACATCTAAGTCCCGGAATCCCGATGACAGCTGTCAGTTCAATCAAGAAAGGGATTCCCCGAGGGATCTTTGCAGCAAGATACAGCACCTCCTGGTTGGCATGCTTCCTCTTGGCAATGAAAAAGATGTTGGATGTGGCTAAATGCTCAATGGTTGCATCAACACTATTTATAGCGACCCCCGGAAAGTCCCTTGAGATCTCATTTGAATCAGGTAATGATTTCCATGTCTGCACATTGAAGGGAAAAGGGTTTGTCATCTATCAGTCTCCTGACTGACCATTAAAGTGCATTGCGTCTATGAAAAATTCTGTAATAATAATAAATTTTTATACAATTAAATCATAGAAGCATCAGGAAAAGTCACAAAAAAAGCAGGGTAAACTGCATAACTGGGTTTCAGAAGTCAGCCGTGCATTATATTTAGAATTTATCTATCTACTAATAGATCGACAAATATTACCGTCGCCAATACAGTTAGCTTTTACATCAGTATGTTTGTTAGATAGGGTTGGAGTTACCTCAAGAAAAGTTGAACGCTCCATTTTCCCGTCCTCAATAAAGAATACGTGAAATGAGATCTTATCATTGAAGTACCACACTGGCTGTTGATTGTTTTTCACGGCAACTTGCAAAAGCGAGGTAGGGGGGCCTGGAGAAAGATTCTGGAATAACACCATTGGAAGCAGAGTGCTTGCAGATGTCCCTGGTTGCAATTGTGGTACCTATTGGACACACACTTGTTCACTTCAAGACCAAGATGAGAGGGAAAATGAAATGACAGCATAAGTCAAAAGATCAAATAAAAACTTCCCACTTGAAAAGAGGAAGGGGAGTTAACACCTGAAGTGGTCCAGCAGCAGCAAGACCAAAAGTGTTCTTATTGAACTGAATCATGAATCCATCAAGTGCAATCTGGGAGTGGTTCTCAAAGAACATGCTGTAAAATACTTGGCCATCTCTTCGTATCACTTGTGCACTGATTTGTAATCCTTGACCAGTAGATGCTGGTAATACATCAGGCAGAGAAATCCTGCAATCAAAATCAGTACTCCATGAGAAATGTCATCTAAGTTTTATGTGGTCCATATATCATCCCCTGTCTGCATCAAAAGGTTACTTGTTTATATATTTATTTACTAACTAAAGATGCTTTGAGAAAATTTAAAAACTCAGGGTTGTATGTATGCTCTGTAACAACAATTTCAAGAAACTATCTTTGTCCTTATTAGCAATTTAATATAATAATCACGACAGTTACATATACCTAGCAGGTATTGAGGGTTGATCAACCGGAACAATAGCAGAGTTGTTACTTTCCACTCCCAGATCAAGTAAATCGGGCACGACTGTAGGAGCTGCAGATCCAGCTGGAGCCTGCCCTGGTAGGTTATTATAGGGAGAACTACTTGATGCAGCTGGCGTTGAAGCACCACTTTCATTGGGGTGAGCAGGAGATTCAGAGAACCCTGCCTCAGCCCCATCAGGAAATTCCTCCTCCTCTGGTTTATGAGTGATCTTCATACGAGATACAAATGACTCTGTGGGCTTATGATAAACAGAGGATAGTGTAGCAATATTGGCAAGAAGTTCATCTAAAAGAGAAGGGTCAAGTTGGTTGGAATCATCACTGATCACAGGCTTTTCAGCTAGCACAATATCCTTTGCAGCCTACAAGGTAAAGATGCAAGCCTGCTTTAAAAAAACTACACATAATGTGAACCGTTGATGTCATTGTAACTACACTGAATGGTCATAAATTTGACAAAGCGCCAATTTGCCAAAATTGAAACTGGAAGGGTAGTCGAATTTCAAAATGTCTGAACAGCATGAGGAAGGAGATAGATGATATTAATAAAACATTTTACATTCTCAACTACAATGACACTAAATTAATTAATGAATTAGTTAATTAATTAATTCATATATAAATAAATCAATAATCATCCAGAGAGTAGCTATTTTAAAGAGTTTTTTTTGTTAGACCAAAATATAAGTGACAACTACAACAAAGACAATAAATTTTCTACCAACCAATTACCCCATCAGTTGTAACACTCGACTAAGCCATGCAGCAATAGTTGGCAGAAATATTAGTTCATGCATACCTCTGGATCAGTTGAAAGCAGACGCCAGTATATATATGCACGATCTCGCAAATCTGGGTTGTCTGTCTCCAATGTGGCATTATTCAGGACAACCTTGAAGTAAAATTTATTACATTATAGATATTGGTGCATGGTTTGGAACAATGGTAGTGTGCTATACAGCTATGACTGCTATCTCTTTTCTATAATAAGCAGAGACCAAAATTTGACCACTCGATTGGCAATCTAACACAGAACTTTGTATTCTGGATTCTGTAGCATTGGTACTTGGTAGATTGCAAATTAAACGAGGACACCAGAGGATAGATAATAACTGTGTCAGTGCAAATAAAAAAGTTAAAAAAACAGCCATCTTGTTGTCCGTGTGGAGTTCCACGATATCACAACTAAAACAATTACCTCACCAAGTTGTGTTTGTGCATGTGCTTGTTGCGTGTTTGAGGATGTGGAAGAGAAGCATCTATATTGCTACATATACACATGCAACAATATTCATAAACACATCATAAACTAAATTTCATAAGTGTACTATCCAAACAAAGCAGATGTACTTCAATAAACTGTGCCCAATTTTCCTCCCAACCCAACACAAACAGAAATCTGGTTGGAAATAAATTGTGCCCAATTTTCCTCTGCAAGGTGGATGCACAATGTGTCAAGGTGATAAATGCTGCAGCTCAAGGAAGGTACTACAAAGGTGGAAGTAATTAGGAAACCAGAACTTGACAAATCAGTGGAACAGTAATTTAAACAGTATAATGGGACCTCTGTAGCACCACTAGTCTACTACATGAGGCAGGATGTAAAAATGAAATACCTGAATCATTTGCTGTGGACCTTCAGTTGGCTTCTTTAGGAAGAGTTTGACAGTTGCTGTCAGCAACTGCAACTGTACATGTGGAGTTTCCTCAGGAAAGCTTTCTAAGAAGCTTTCAAGGAGCTCATCTGCATTATCAATCCTCTCGGCATATTCACCAATGATCCAGATCATTGATGCCTGTCATCAATAGATAGGAGTTTGAAACAGAAGAATAAAATCAGTATTAACTTAAAATATTATAGCAGTCTTGAGAGAACTATATAGTACCTTTGCCTCTGGCTCGTCTAAAGTGTCCAAACTCTCACACAGAGTAGCAATGATAGACTCATAGCTGAAGACAAAGCATCTCTTTAATGGATAACTCGGTATAATATATTGGAAGAAGTAGGAATTTAAACATACGTGTTGGGATATCTCCTGAAGATGTCTTTGATTACTATAATAGCTTCTTGAACAACATAGTTTACTTTGATCTTAATCAGTTCAAGCAAGACACTTATACAGCGCTCAGCGGCCCTCTCTAACTTGATGGCACAGCGGCCAATAGCACGGACAGCCTTCCTTACAAAATCAACATCTACTTCAGTGGCATATTCCTTGAACTCCAAGAGAACCTGCAAAACTTTTCCCGTGAGAT